CTCTACCAGTCCTTTTTGTGGTTTTTCAAGATAGGTCTTGCAAAACTATTTGCCCAGAGCTGACTTCCAAATGCAATCCTCCATGACCAGCTAGGAATTACGACATGAGACATTGGCACCTGGCTAAGGACTTCCAACTTTGATGTTAATTTTCAGAACCATTTAGAGGTCGTTCTGTGTTCTCTTGCCTTTCTGCAAAATATTTAGAAATCATCCTATTGATTTCCATAAGAAATCTGGAAATTTTTATTCAGATTCAATTGAATTAAAATAAATTTTGGGGAGAATGGGTATCTTAATATTGATGGTTCTGATCCAAAACATGTTTCTATGTGTGTTCCCCCAAAATTTGTATGCTGAAACCTAACACCAACTTTGATAGCATTGAGAGGTAGGACATTATGACAGTGGTTAGGTCATGAAGGGCAGAGCCCTCATTAATTGGGTTAATGCCTATTCATTACTTTTGTGTCAACTAGACCCCCAAAATGCCTGAGACAAACAACTTCAAGAAGGAATGACTGTTTTGCCATAGTATCAGAAATTTCAGTCCCTAGTCCTTGGCTCTGTTGATTCTGGCCCATGGTGAGGAAGAACACCATGACAGCAAAAAACACGTGGCAGAGGAGGTTTTTCAGCTCAAGGTGCACAGGAAGCCAAGAGAGTGAGACAAGGACCAGGGTTACCCTCAGTGACCTATTTCCTCCAACTAGGTCCCATCTCCTAAAGTTTCCACAACCTCCAAGACCAGCCCTGGGTAAAAATGCAAGACCCTACCTGAAAAATAACTAAAGCAAAAAAGAGCTGGGGGTGTGCTTCAAGGTAGAGCACCTGCCTGGCAAGAGGGAGGCCCAAAAGTTTAAACCCCAATTAACTGCCAAAAAAATAAAAAAAAAAAGATATTGTATCTTAGGATGATTCTTCACAGTCTTTGAAATCACCATCAGTTGTGTAAGCCTTCCTAGCTGAGACCCTAGACAGTATGAGGCAGAGAATGAACCATGCAACCCCATTGTGTCCTGTCAAATTCCTGCCCCAGAATCTGTGAAGACAACAAAAATGGTAGTGGGGCTGGCAAAGTGGCTCAAGTGGTAGAGCCCTGCCTAGAAAGCATGAGCCCTGAGTTCAAATCCCCAAGTACCACAAAAAAAAAAGCTTTAGTGGTTCTACACCAGTCATTATCAACATTTTCTTCTCAGAATTCCTTCACACTCTAACATGAACACACCCAAAAGCTTCAGTTTCTGGGCACTGTATCTATGAATACCTAACATGTCAAAAGTCAGGATAAAAATTTTATTATTACAATTCACTTAATATAAATAATATGCTTAAGTGACTTTTGCAAAACAAGAAAACAATTTTTTAAAAAGGAGTGACATGAGCCATGTGCAGGTAGCTCACTCCTGTGATCCTAGCTACTTGGGAGGTTATAATCAGAAGGATCATGGTTTGAGAACAGCCCAGGCAAATAAAGAGACTGCATCTACAAAATAACCAATCCAAAATGGACTGGAGGGTGGCTCAAGTGGTAGAGCACCTGCTTTGCAAGTGTGTGAAGCCCTGAGTTCAAATCCCAGTCCAACCAAAAAAAAGTGGTATGCTTTATGCTTTTTGCAAATCTTTTTTTTTTTGGGGGGGGAGTGTGGGTAATGCCGTTTTAAACTCAGGGCTTCCGTGCTTGCAAAAGCAGAGTGCTCTACCCATTAGCTATTTCTCCAGGTCCTCAAATCATTTTTGAGACAGGGTCTCAGTATGTACCCCAGGCTGAATGTCCTACAAGATCTAGTCCCTTTAGAAATTTGTATTCAAATAGGTCTCTGCTCTGAACCCATATGTGGTACAGTTTTACCAGTTTTTACCTTTATAGAACAGTAACAGGGGCCTTTGTTTTAAGGAAAAATCCCAAAGTAGTCTTCAAAAAACATAATTCTGAAAATCTGGTCAACAATTACATAGAACCCAGAAATGTGAAATTTTTGTGTAGGAAAAAAAACCACCTATTGAGATTGAAAAGCATGTTTTCAACTTTGGGTTCTGGTTTTTGTTGTTGTTGTTGTTTTTAGTTAGTATAAGAGATCAAGGACTAAGCCAGAAACTGGTGGCTCATGCTATAATCCTAGCTTCTCAGGAAACTGAGATCAGAAGAATCACCATTCCAAGACAGTCCAGGCAAAAAAAGTTTGGTATGCCCCATCTCAACAGAAAAAACCTGGCACAGTTGCAGATGCCTGTCATCCCAGAGACAGCAGAAAGCTTAAAAATAGGAGGACAGAGGTCCAGGCCAGCCTGTGCAAAAGCAAGACCCCCATCTCCAAAATAACCAAAAAAGGGCTGGAAGTGTGGCTCACGTAGTAAACCACCAGCCTAACACGAAGTCCTGAGTTCAAAACCCCAGTATACAAAGTGTTCTTAGGTTTGTATGAACTTATGGTGGTGTAATATAAACACCATCACCCTAATGTGACTTTTCTAAATGCCTGTGAGGAAATCAGCTTCTACACTGCCTACCCCAAACTTGACTGTTGTTAGAGCCCATGGGGACTACCAGAGAAGCCAGTGTCATTAGTTTTCAAATGAGATTCCCCTAAGTGGGAATTCACATCTAGTGCATCTTTTTAGGCCAACCTCTTCAGTAACTCAGGCTCTGCTTGTCACCTCAAAGGTGTATGTGTGATCCCTTAGAGCTATGACATAAAATTGTTTCCTCAGTGTTTGCAACCATGAGAGACAGAGCAGACCTTGGAAGTCCTGTATGTGGAAGAGCCTTGAAGCGAGGGTTCAGCGTTAATTGTCATCAGCCAGGAGCAGGGCATGTTGCGTGGTGAGAAGAGACATTTCATGTTTTTCTCAGCCTTTTGATTTAGATCTTCTGGAACTTCTTTCTCTTCCTTTACACCTCCCTCCAAAAAAAAAAGATTTAAAATGGAATGAGTTTTATCAGCGAAGTACCTGTATTCCAGTCAACACACAGTCAGCCCTTTGCATCTGCATGTGTATAGCCTTGTTCTTTACTCTAGAAAAAAAAAAAAGAGAAATTTTGATGGTTCACCATGTGTGAAGACATGTGGCCAAGGCAAAGGTATTGGTAAAAGCTGAGTGTGTTTGTTGTGGAGCTCAGGGGGGGGGGGGGGGAGTTAATGGGGATTTTACTTCTACCTCAAAATGTCACACTTTGCCCCAGCATGGTTGCGCTCACTTGTAATCCCAACATTCAGGAGGCTGAGACAGGAGGATCTGAGTTCAAGGCCAGTCTCCATACTGTCTCTGTCTAAATAAATAAGTCAGGTGCCAGACTCACCCCTGTAGTCCTAGCTACTCAGGAGGCAGAGATCAGGAGGATCAGGGTTCTAAGCCAGCCTGGGCAAATAGTTCTTGAGCCCCTATCTCGAAAACACCTAACACAGAAAGGGCTGGTGGAGTGGCTCAAGTGGTAGATCACCTGCCTAGCAAGCCTGAGGCCCTGAGCTCATAATCCCAGCACCACAACCATAAATAAATAACTTTTAAAGTCCCATTTTGTCCCCACAGCTAAGAGGATGTAAATATTCTTACACCACTAACAGTACCTTGTTAGGCTGTAACCACTGTGGTAACAAGAAGATCCTGACTTGGTGTTTTGGGATGTAGATTAAGTTTTTTTCTGTTTTAAACAGAGTCCTAACGTTTAAATTTAATACCATCAATTCAGTATTTCATGAGGCTAGTCTTTTTAAGAGGCTCAGGTGGCCAGACTAGTTGAGATTTCTTTTAATCACAATCTCCAATTCCCGGTGTCTCTATTAAGTAACATGATCTTCTCACCTGTTCTTAAATCCTTCTGTGTCTACACAGGTGTTTTACTCTTGGTTGTGTCTGGAAAAGGCAGAAGATGATGTTGAGATTCTTCAAGCTCTGGTTTGGGGTGACCAAATGAAGTAATGACAATCCTAAATCGCTTTAGAGTCCATCTATCTCCCCATCAGCAGACTGCGATTGTCACTGTTAATCCCAAAGTTCCCATGGTGCAGATGTAAGAGCCAACATCCCCCTGGCCTTGACAAGGTCTATTCTTCCTTTACAATCTTACTGGTTATTTCCATTTCTTGGTAGATATATCAGGTGCTGAGGATGAACCTCGGAGTAACTGTTTTGTTTTGAATACTTGCATGTAATTGTTCAAACTGGACAAATTGGTCAAAGCTGGCCAGTCTGTAATCCTACCTACTCAGGAGGCAAAGACCAGGATAATCGAGGTTGAAAGCCAACCCAAGCAAATGGTTCCTGAGCCCCTATCTCAAAAACACCCAACACAAAAAAGGGCTGGGGGAGTGGTTCAAGTGTGAGGCCCTGAGTTCAAACCACATTACCGCCAAAAAAAACAAAAAAAAAACTGGAGTGAGGACAAATAGGTCCCTGACCTCTGGGGAATCTTCCCTTGGGTCGGGGCTGGGGAGGCAATGACCTTTACCCCCAAGAGAATCTACAGAGGATCAGAAGGGAGGCATGGACTACTCTTTCCTACCGTCTGCACTGTCCCCTTGTCGTCTGGGGACCTTTGGGGTGAAGGACTTGGGCTCTCGCGGACCGCTTTACCTCGCTGGGACCAAGAGCAAGCTATCTGACTTCCTGTGCCTTTACTTCCTCCTTCTTCAAATGAGTTAAAAATTTTTTTTAAAAAGTCGCCCAAGCCCCTGAGGCCCACACTCCCACGGCGCCCCTGGCCGGGGTCCTCAAGTGTCTACTGCGCTTGCGCGAGCCCAGACCCCGCCCCTCGCAGGCCGGACCGGAAGCGGAAGCGCGCGTGCGTAGCGCCGCGGTCGTCGGAGCTGGGGTTGCGAGCCGAGGTGGCAGTGGACGTGGATTTTTGCAGCCGTCGGGGTCGTACGGACTCTTGCCTAGGTGCGTCCCGCTAGTCGGGCCCAGTTGTGGAGAAACCGGGTAGAGGCCCGAAGGGCAGCGCGGCGCCTCTTGCCCACGGTGGCCGGGCCGGGCGGCGGCAGGCGGCGTCAGTTCCGGGAGAGGCGAGGGTGGAGCCGCTGGTCAAGGTACGTGGACAGGACCCTACCTCTGTCCTGGTGTTCTCTTTAAAAGCCCGCCCCGGAGTCAGACTTTTCTCCTGTGTTTTTTGTTTTGTTTGTTGTTAAGAATATACTCTTTCTTGTACCTTACGTTCCTCGGTTAATTACTTTCTTGGGACATTTGGTATAAGTTTACGGACATACTTTGTACGTGTCTGTCTCCTCCCCCTGTTCATGGCTGGTTTTGCTACCTTCGGTGTCAGTTCGCAGACATTTCTCTCTCCCTCGTCCCCTCACCTCTCCTCGCCTCTCCTCTTCGCTCTCCTTCCATCGTCGTCGTCTTCTCCCCCCCCCGCCCCATGAATGTACCTTTAGTCCTCGGTGATTGAGAGACGTTTGAATTCTCCTCTGTATGTTTTTGTGTGTGTTTGTTCATATGTATGAACCTAAGTCTTCAAGATGGACTTTTTGAATTTAGGGGGTGTGACACACAGAGTAGGATTGCATCTGTTATTATTCATAGATAGGACAGTAAGTACGCAGATTGTTTGCATCATTTCACTTTCCTGTCCACAAGACAGTGAGTTCTGATTCTCACCAACACTTGTTATTTTTAATTTTACCCATTTTTTTTTTTTTTTGGTACTGGGATTTGAACTGAGGACCTACAGCTTGAGCCACTCTGCTTGCCCTTTTTTGTGATAGGGTTTTTTTTTTTTTGAGATAGGGTCTTGCAAAACTATTTGCCCTGGCTGGCTTTGAACTGCGATCCTCCTGATCTCTGCCTTCTGAGTAGCTAGGATTACAGGCAGGAGTCACCAGTACCTGGCTTAATTTTAGCCATCTTAAGAGAGGGTCATGGCCAGGCATCAGTGGCTCACGTCTATAATCCTAACTAATTGAGAGGCTCAGATTGGTAGGATCATGGTTCAAGGCCAGCCTGGGCAAATAGTTCTGAAGCCCCCCATCTTCAAAATAACCAGCCTGAATGGACTGTAGGTGTGGCTCAAGTAGTAGAAGGTCGGCTTTGCAAGCATGAAGCCCTAAGTTCAAACCCTAGTTCCACCAAAAAGAGTGTCACCAGGCACAGTGACTCATGTCTGCAATCCCAGCTACTCAGGATATGGTTGGAAAGATGTCAGTCCAAGCCCAAACAAAAAGTTACTAAGATCCCATCTTAACCTATAAACTGGGCATCGTGGCACACACCTGTACACAATCCTAGCTGTGGTGGGAGGTATAAGTAGGAGGATTATGGTCCAGGCTTGCTGGGCAAAAATGCAAGACCCTATCTGAAAAATAAACCAAAAAGGGCTGCAGGCATAACTCTGGTGGTAGAGCACCTACCTAGCAAGCATGAACCCTGAGTTTAAACCCCCAGTACTGCCAAAAAAAAAAAAGTGTAAAGTAGTATCTCACCGTAGTTTTGTTTTGCATTTTCCTAGTGGCTAGTGATACTCAGCATCTTGTCATGTCCTCTTGACCTTTGTATATGCTTTTTAAAATGTTCATTCAGCCCATTTTTTTAATTGTGTTTTTAAAATTCAGTTGGCTGAATTCAGCCTGAAGTTTTCAGGCTTAACAAATTTAAATTATTTTTTAAATCATGATGCAATGTTGTTTTTTTATTACCTTTACTTTTATTGAGAGGATCATATTGTTCTTTCCTTGATCTGTTAATGAAGCAAATTATATTTTCCAATTTTTATTACGTTAAACCCAACTTAATTCCATTGTTTTGTCTTTCTCACTTACTGATCTATTTTGTTTGGACTTACTTTCCTTACACTATGTACATCTATGTTTGTTGAAATTTGCCTGTAATTTTATTTTCTTACAATGACCTTACCATGTTTGATAACGATATGCTAGTCTCAAAGAACATTCCTCCCTTTATATCCTTTTTTTGTTTTTTTTTTTTTTCAGTATTGGGGCTTGAACTCAGGCCCTACACCTTGAGCCACTCCACTAGCCCTATTTTTGTGATGGGTTTTTCGAGATAGGATCTTGCAAACTATTTGCCTGTGCTGGCTTTGAACCATGGTCCTCCTCATCTCTGCCTCCTGGGTAGCTAGGATAATAGGTGTGAGCCACTGGTGCCCAGCTTGGTTTGGATTGTTTAGGCCAGTTGAACTCAAGGCCTTGTGCTTGCTAGGCAGGTGCTCTTCTACTTGAGCCACACTCCCAGCTTTCTGCTTTGATTATTTTCAAGATAGGGTCTTGCTTTATGCCAAGACCAGCCTGGACCTTAATGGTCCTTTTTGTGTTTCCCTTGTGTAGCTGGCATGACAGGCATGTGCCACCACACCTAACTTTTTTCCATTGAGATAGGGTCTTGAAGGCTTTTTGCCTGTACTGACCTCAAACTGCTATTCTCCCAATCTCTGCCTCTCAAGTAGCTAGGATTACAGGCTTTAGCCATTATGCCTAGCTTTTGTCACTGTGTAGCCCTGGCCTCAAGCCTGTATCCTCCTGCCTCAGCTCCCCAGTGCTAGAATTAACAGCTGTGCACCATCACACTCAGCCCCTTTTGGTTTTTTGACCCATTGATTTAATAAGAAATGAAGTCATTTGTTCTACAGTAAATGAGGATTTGACTATTGCTGCTTTATGTTGTCTATTTCTCTTATGTTTAATATATGAGTTGTTAGAGCTAGAATGTTAATTAGATTCAGGTTTCACTTCATAGATTAACACTTAAAGTTAAAAAATAGTATAATTAGTTTTAGAATTCAAGGTTAATAATTACCTTTATTCTTAGACAACAAAGACATCCTGTTTTCTTCTGATATAATTTCTGTTATTAAATCATTTGTCAGATTATTTGTTTTTCCTTTGTAAGGGACTTAGATTTTTCCCTGGCTGCTTTTAATATTATGGGGAAAACTCAAACACCAAAGAAGAAAAACCTATAATTTCATTGTAGATTTCTTTTTATTTACTTGGCTTGGGATTTGCTGTACTTCCAGGACCCAAAGGTTAGTGTCTTTTACTAACTCTAGAAAATTTTTAGTAATCTCTAGTTTTATGGTTATTACAAAGTTCTGATATGATGGTTAATCCTCACATTTGGTTTCTCATTTCACAGTCTATTTTCATTTCTAAAAATTATATTTTTAAAAAACTTCTTGACAGTTTTTATAGTATTTTATTCCATACTCATCCAAATATCTCTTAATTTCTTTAAGCCTGTTAAATGCATTTTTTTCATATTTTGTGTCTGTAAAGTATAATATCTAAACTGTTCTTCCTCTTTTTATTCCTGTTGCCTGTGGTTTGGTTGCTTCTCACATATGGTACATTGTGTATTGGGGTTTTAAAATTTTTTAACTATGATTTCCTCAGGTTCCGTAGAACTGTAAGAATTCCTTGTGGCCTGGTTTAAAATCAAGTTTTCCAGAGGTAGATCCATGAGTTCCTTGAGGGAAATGCCAAGTAGGATTATCTTTAAATGAAACTGTTCTTTTGAGGTATTTGAACGATGTGAATAATGTGAAATTGGGCCAGAACCTTAATGAAGCATTTGTGTTTACAAATCCTCAGGAGAGATTCTTTAACTAGTATGCCTGACAGATATAGTTCCTTGCTACACTCTTCATTTCCATAAACTTAGCTTCCATAAAGTTTTACTTTCTTCAAAAAAATTTTTTTTGGAGTACTGGGGATGAAACCCAAGGAGATAGTGTATAATCAGCAAACAGGGTCTCAAAGGTGGCTTCTGAGTAAAGGAGACTTGATTTCATGTCCCAACTCTGCTGTAGGGTTTACAGCATTAAATTTTACCACAGCCAACTGTGGTAACTGCTGTTCTGGAATGCATTGCTTTTATTTTGAAATTAAAATATGCTCATCCGAATGAAATACAGGTTATAGTGATTTCTAATCTTTACAAAGCCCTTATGAATTAGCAGTTATTATTCTACTTAATTTATATATATTAATTATTTGACAATCAAACCCTCCAAAGTCTGTCCCATTTTAGATGAAAGTCTGTCCCATGAGAAGATGAAGGGTATGGTATAAAATATTTCAGACTCATCTTGAAGATTTCCTGGCTGTAGTAGACTCAGCTCGTTCCCCAGTGAGTTCTGGTTTCTGCCATGGTAACAGGCATTTATTGACTATAGGTTTCACTGCTCACGACGGTCACTGGCTATAAGACTTATAAGTGGTTCCAGCTAGGAAAAAGTTCAAAACAGAAAAAATAGCAAGTACATATTATATTCCTTATACTATATTTCTTAATCATACTATGTTCTTGGATAGGAAAACAAATCTAACTCCTGTGTTTGTGAGAAGAAGCTTTCACACCTGGTAATGGTGAGCCTATGGGCCTCGACTCTCATGGCTTCTCTGCTCTCCTCTAACTGCCTTTTTAGGACCCTGCCCAGCACAACAGAAGAATGGCGGCAGGACTGCTGACGGCCTGCTCACAGGTAGGAAGGAAATCCTGTTTCCAACACAACACTGCTGTGCCTAAGGAGCACCTCTCCTACCCATGCCTCAGTCTTCCCCAGTTGTCTAGGCTTCTTAGATGGGAATATCTAGGAAAGGCTTTGGGTATATGTGTTGATTTTTTTTGGCTGTTCATTCAGATAAAGTATAAATGCCATACTTTCTCTGATGGGAGCTATGAAGAAAAATTTTCAATAGGAAAAATCATTATTCGTTCCCATTCCCCAAGTACTTCTCCCATTCCTACAGTGCCCTATCCATACTGGATCTGAGAAAGACAGAAAGAATCCTCACAACACAAATGTGGCAGATCAGATCACACATGTTTTACAAAAACTGTGAATGCCATGAGATGAATAAATGGCCCTGGGGTTAGGATTTAAAAAGGAGAAGTTTGATACCTGAGCCTTGGGGCCTCAGATGCTTGTCTGATTGAACTGCCTGTGCCTTGATCCCTCCCCCAGTCCTGTCAGTTTCTCCCACCCTCTTCCTGGCGCACAGCTAATTGTGGTCGGTGTCAAACAGAATGTGTATGTGGTGTTTTAGAACCCAGTGACCTTCCAGGAAGTGGCAGTGGACTTTTCCCAGGAGGAGTGGGCACTGCTGGATGCTGCTCAGAAAAGTCTGTACAGAGATGTGATGCTGGAGAACTTTAGGAACCTGGCCTCAGTGGGTAAGCCAGCCTCATTGCTTCATTTACTCATTTGTTCACACCGCAAGCATTCTTCAGGACATATTCATTCCATGGTCTGTGAAAAGGGCAATATTGAGTGAACACAAATGTGTGGATGGGCTTTGCCGCTGTGGCCAGTCTAGGGCTTCCCATGAGACTGCACAGATCTCATCTTCTCTGTCATTAGAAGGGTTAAGTGATGTGTAGTCTGTCTGATCGTGGGCATGGGTTTCGAGGGTCACTTCCCTGTGGGCATAGAGTGCTTGTGAAGGAGTGCACTTAGAATCTCTGGAGGCCAAAGTTTTGGAGGGTTTGTTTGTTTTCTTTTTTTTGTGGTACTGGGGATTGAACCCCATGCTTGCTAGCCAAGCGCTCTACCACTGGAGCCACTCCCCAGTCCTTTTGTTTTTTTCCTTGTACTTTTTGCCCAAGCTAGCCTCCAACTGTCATCCTACTATTTCCACCTCCCAGGTAGGTAGCCACTACATGGCTTCTTTTTGAGATAGGGTCTCACTGACTTTTGCCTGGGCTGGCTGTGAACCACAATTCTCCTTTTCCTGCCTCCTGAGTAGTTGTAATTATAGGCATGTACCAACATACCCTATTTTGTTTGTTCTGCAGTACTGGAGTTTGAAGTGAAACCCTCATGCTTACTAGCCAGGCACTCCTCCACTTGAGCTACACTCCCAGCCTTTTTTGCTTTCGTTATTTTTCAGATAGGATCTCCTACTTTTTGTCCAGGGCTGACCTGGGACTCCAGTCCTGCTGCCTATGCTTGCTGCATAGCTGGGATTATAGACATATATCATCATACCCCACTTGTTTGTTGAGATAAAGTCTCCCTAACTTTTTGCCGGGGCTGGCTTCAAACCATGATCCTCCTGTCTCCTCTTCCTGAGTAGCTGAGATTACAGAAAAGATTCCTGATCTTTTGGATTCCAGTTTGTAGAAAGTCATTTCCTACATGGTCCTCAGACATCCTGTCTCTCCTCACAAGCAGGGCATCAGCTCTGCAAACACAATCTGATCTTCAAGGTAGAGCAGGAAGAGCTGAGGACAGAGGAGAGAGGAATTCCCCAAGGTGTCTCTACAGGTGAGACCCGGGCAGAAAGGTGATACTGTATAGACCAGGCTTGGCTAGCAAGGACTGGCACATGGGGAGTGAAACAATGCAGGATGGAATGCTGAGGCTATAGATGATCTGCCTTTCTCTTTCACTGTCTAGCCATTCATACTTATATTGGGTCTCAGAGAAAGAATTCTTACATGTTCTTGTTCAGTTGTCCCTATTTTGCTTCCCAGATAATACCATGCTTTATTTTCCCAAGTCTCCAGAATCCTTGCTAAGTAAAGCTCCTCCCATTCCCATTGCATGCTCCTGTCACTGACATGTCTTCCCAGAGCCAAACTCCTGAGTTACGTTTTTAATCTGTGGTTACATCTTCTCTTTCACATTTTCTTCCAGTTACTGTTAAAATTTGAAAACAAATCAATACGTGTCTGCCTCCTTTTTTTTCTTTTCATCCAACCTTCCCTTCCAATAATTACAAAAATGTTCCTGTGCCTTTTCAGACTGGGAAACTCAATTTAAATCAAAAGATGCAGTTCCTATGCAGAATGCTCCTGGGGCAAAAACATCAAATGGCATAAAAATGGTAAGATTTCCTGGTTCTGTACAGAGTCTGGGAAAGTCAGTGGGTTAAAACATCACTCAAACCAGGGACAAAAGTTGAGGTGGTGACATTTACTCACCAGAAAGCTGCTCAGGAGACAGTTTGAGACTCTCATGGGATTGGAGAAAGCACAAAGTCTAGTTCATTGCTTGCTGCCTCACAGAGAATACTCACAGGCAAACGTGCTTAAATATGACTCCAGCATTAAGAATTTAAAATATAATTCACTTATTCTTTTTTGTTGTGCTGGGGTTGCATCATGACATTTATAAAAGTTCTTATAATGTATCAAATATATCGTAGTTGAATGCACCCCCTCCACCATTCTCCTTTATCACCCTCCTTCCGCCATTCCTGGAATAGTTTCAGCAGGTCTCCTTTTTCTATTTACATACATGTGTACACAGTATTTCCACCATATTCACCCTCCTACACCCTTTCCTCACATCTCTCCCTTCCCACTAGTACCAGCCCCTCAGACAGGACCTGTTCTGTCATCCTGTTCTCTAATTTTATAAAAGAGAAACAAATGACATTTTTGTTTGTGTAAGGTACCTATACATTGGTTTCCTTGTGACATTTCTCTGTATATATGTATTGTAACCTGAATTGGTTCATCTCTTTTATTTTTCTCCTTTCTACCTTAGTCCCCTTATGGTGATTTCAACAGATGTAAAAATTCTATATTCAATCTTGTATAGGAACTACATCAACCGTATTCATTTTCTTCCATCCTCATAGGTGATCTCCACTTTTGTGACCTGGTATTCATAATATTGCTTGTATTTGTGTTAAGTCTATATTCCACATAGTAGAGAAAATATGAGGATTTTAGCCTTCTAAGCTTGACTACTTCACTTAAGATGAAGTTCTCCAGTTCCTTCTGTTTGCCTGCAAATGACAATTTTTCATTCTTCTTTGTGGCTGAATAAAATTCCATTATATATAAATACCACATTTTCTTAATCCACTCATCAGTAGTAGGGCATCTTGACTGTTTCCATAGCTGATCTATTGTGAATAGTGCTAAAATAAACATGAATGTGCTTGTGAATAGTGCTAAAATAAACATGGATGTGCAGATGTCTTTATTATAACTTGACTTACATTCCTTCAGGTATATCCTTAGGAGTGGAATTGCTAGATAATATGGCAGTTCTGTTTTTAGTTTTTTGAGGAGCCTCCATATTGTTTTCCATAGTGGTTGTATTAATTTACATTCCCACCAGCAGTGTATGAGGGTTACTTTTTCCCTCATCCTCACCAACATTTGTTGTTGTATTCTTGATGGTAACTATTCTAATAGGAGTGAGGTGGAATCTTAAGGTGGTTTCAATTTGCATTTCCTTTATGGCCAGGTATGGTGAGCATTCCCTCACCTGTTTTTTAGACATTTGGACTTCTTCCTTTGAAAAAGTTCTATTCAGTTCATTTGCCCATTTCTTCACTGGGTCATGGGTTTTGGGGGAGTGTAAGTTTTTCAAGCTCTCTGTGTATTCTGGTTATTAATTCTTTGTCAGATGTATAGCTGGCAAAGATCTCCCATTCTTTGGGCATCCTCTTCAATTTATAAAATATAATTCACTCACTCTTAACTGTATTGGACAGAATATTGAACTTATTCACATTGAAAAGCTAATACAGCAAGAGTTGTACCTGTTTTCCCATCCATTGAGTAGGCTCAGGCAGGAGTTGAAGGCCAGTCTAAACTAGTAAGAACCTATCTCCTTTAAAAAAAAAAAAAGTCATACACATACCCTAAAAGTGATAAACATGAGTCATAATCATGTTCTTAATCGTGTAATGGCAGAATCCACACGGAAGAGAATTCCTGTGGAGTGATTAAAATGAGAAAGCCTTTAGTTATCACTTATTCTATTAGCAGGTACCAATGCAACCTGGCAAGAAATCCGTAGAATGTAATCACTGTGAGAAGTTCTTCAGAAAGAACCCTCGTCTTTGTACCAGGCATGGCAAGGGAGAGAAATGCTGTAAATACACAGACTATGTCAACATCTTCAATCATCTCTCAACTCCTGGAGAGAAAACTCAAGAATTTAATGATTGTGGAGAAGCTTTCAATCCAGAGTCATTGCTTAGGAAATACTTTAGAACACTCACAGGAGAAAAGGCCTTCAGCTGTAACCAGTATGATACATCCTCCAGCCTACCTCCTTCCTTCTCAGGATATGAGCACGTACAAACTAGAGGGAGACTCTGCGATCACAGTGACTACAGGAAAAGGTTGGCCCCTAGTGTTCACAAAAAAGTTCAATGTGTACAGGAAAGTTTGAGGTGTAACAAACACAGGAAAGCTGGCCATTTGTCCCTTCAAAAACATGTCAGAACTCACATCGGACAGAAACTCTGTGAGTGCAGTGATTGTGGAAAAGCCTTCATTTTCCAGTCTTCACTTAAGAAACACATGAGATCCCACACTGGAGAGAAACCCTATGTATGTAATCACTGTGGAAAATCCTTCAGCCAGAGCTCTCATCTTAATGTGCACAAAAGAACACACACTGGAGAGAAGCCCTATGACTGTAAGGAATGTGGAAAAGCCTTCACTGTTCCTTCGTCCCTTCAGAAACATGTGAGAACCCACACTGGAGAGAAACCCTACGAGTGCAGTGACTGTGGCAAAGCCTTCATTGATCAGTCGTACCTTAAGAAACACACACGCTCTCACACTGGAGAGAAGCCTTATGAGTGTCATCAGTGCGGAAAGTCATTCAGCACAGGCTCTTACCTTATTGTACACAAAAGAACGCACACAGGAGAGAAAACCTATGAGTGCAAAGAGTGCGGGAAGGCCTTTAGTAATTCCTCTTGCCTGAGGGTACATGTGAGAACCCACACTGGAGAGAAGCCCTATAAATGCCTTCAGTGTGGAAAAGCCTTTAGCACAAGCAGTAATCTTGTCATGCACAAGCGAATCCATACTGGGCATAAAGTCTGAATGAGAGCACTGCGAGAAAGCTTATGTTGACCTTCATGTCTCCTCATTTTACAGCTCTCGCTGGAGAGGGCTGGGGACATGGCCCAAAGGGTAGAGCCCTTGCCTAGCAAGCTCAGGGCCTTGTGCTTAGTACCATAGACACACACAAAGAAAACTTACACTGGAGAGAAACGGAATTGCAGAAAATGTGGAAAAAGCCTTGAGGCACATCTCAATTTAAGTTGTTCTAGGACAGGCGTTTTTATGATCTTTTTTATCAGTGTTTTGTCCTTAAAGTGCCACAACTGATTAATGTGTTAAGTACCAAAGATCAGCAAGCTCCACATGGCTCACATCGCAAAAGTTTATATGTAACATTCACATTATTTAACTATAAGTATCGTCCAATTCCAATCAAGATGTCTGGGACCCACAGGTTATTTAAAAGTGAGTTTGTTAATACGCATATCCTATGCATATGTTAATTAGCTTTCACTGCATTGTGAACAGAATGTGTGGTCTTCGTGGTGCTGATTCAAATTAAAAATTGTTGGAAACTTGATTTGTGGTGTCCTGTGATTGATAGAAATAGTTTCTGTTCCAATTTCCATTCCTCCTTCTTCTTTAAAGTAACAAAGCATACAGTTGGCTGGAAATATAACAATTTTCCAAGGGCACACTTTCCAACTTTCTTTATAACTATGGGTAACCAAATGTGTCCATAGTCCTTGTAATGAGAAGCAGACAGCGGTCCCTGGTGGCTTCTAAGGAAGTTCATTCAAGTGGAAGAATCTCATCTCACATTTTCTCTTCACCATTTGTCTTAACCCTTTTTTTCTCTTAAAAAATATTACCAAACTTAATAATTATAAGTTACTAAGCAATAATGAAGACACAATATTATCTGGCCACTCCAACTCTGAACTTCTAATTTCACATTACGTGAGAAAACGAAACTCCTTAACTGGTTTAAGCTACTCTTACAACTGAGACAGTCCCCGCTGCTACATCTTATATGCAGTCAGAGTTCATGAATCCCTGAAGCATGGTTGGAAACAGTGTGTTTTCTAATTGTTGGATATGACACATTTCTTACTGCATCACTGGATAAATCTTGTGTTCTTAAAATCTGTATGATTACCATCTCCTCATCTTCCATTTATTGAGAAGTAAGGTGAAATGCCACCCTGTAACCAGGTTGTTAAAATTTTGTCTCCTGTTTTATTTTGAGACACCATAATTGAGTGTATAAGTTTACTTATTTATTGTTCCTGGTAAATTGTCCTTTAATCCTTACATAGTGCCCATTCTTTCCCCAAATAATGAAATGTTCATTAGTTCACTTGTGTCAGTGTGAGCTACTGACCAGCCAATGCCGTTCTCCCATTCTAGCTAGTAAGGACAACCAGAAGCAAGTCTCTCTTCTCAGCACTCAATGCTGCTGCTTGCAAAAATGTCTGGCAGTATTGGCCATCTTGACATCCCACAACTGTTCCTCTGCATTTGCTGAGTTTATGCTCATTAGTCCTTATAAGAAGGAAGTAGCAAGTACTTTAAATGCTTCAGTAAATCCTATGCAAATAAGACAAGAATAGACCCAAAGTTAGTGAAGTTTCTAGGGGCTCAGTTGCCTGAAGCATACGAAAACACTCTCCAAGGTAAAAAGAAAGTTGCTACATCTTGAACCACTACTACAAAGAAATAGCACAATGTTTAGTAGGCCTTTGGGGATTTTGGAGACACTATTGTTAGAAATATCGGGGCGCTGCCACTATCACAAATCAGACACGTGCTCGAAAGTTGATGGGCAAAGCAAATTTGCTTCTGTAAAAGATGTGTGCCTCCAACCTAAGTCAGGTGAGAGCACACCAGGCAGAAGAACTGCCTCAGTGTTTATCCCTAATGCAGGACTGCCCCTTTGCTCCAACAGAGGAAGCTTGTGTTCAGTCTTCTGGTTCACTACGGTTGAGGTTTAGGAGAGGACATAGAGGAAGAGCAGACATGATTGGAGAACATGGACAGAAACTTAATTTGGTTGGTGTACTCAAAGACATCCATAAGGTGGGAATTATAGGATTCTGGGTAAACTGAGGCTTGAAATGGCAGCACCAAGTATACAATTAACCTGTGAGCAAAAGAGGAGCCTTGAAGCAGAGATTACATTGAACAATGATTATCCTAAAGCTAGCAGATTGAGTGTTAGGACATCCAATGACAATCCTCTGTTTAAAGGCAGAAACTTTACAGCTAGGTGACATGCCACCAAGCACATAGACTACTGGGGAAATTAGCTAATATCCACAAAATGACATATTCCATAGTGTAGTACTTGGTGGAGGAGAAGGGGGTCAAACCCACAACTTTGCTGTACTGACTGTGCTAGCTCTTTGACAGAAAAGACCCAATTTAGTTAATTCTCACAATATGACACATTTGAGTATGCCACATTTGAAATGTCCACAGATGACAATAGATGATAGATAGATAGGTTACACAGATGATGGAGCCGTATAGATATATATGAAAAAACATTGGAACAATTTGAAGGTTTAGAAAATCAAAGAACATATTCTGGGAATGTATGAAGCAGTATAACCAGGAGATCAAAACTAGCCAAGGCTTCAAAAGCCATATACTTTGGGTGCCAGTTACTCACCCCTGTAATCCTAGCCACTTGGAAAACTGAGATCGGAAGTATCAAGGCTCAAAGCCACCCCCAGCAAATAGTTCCCAAGACCCCATCTCCAAAATAAGCAGAGCAAAATGGAGTGGAGGAGTGGCTTATGTGGTAGAGTGCCTGCTTTGTAAGCATGAAGCCCTGAGTTCAAATCCCAGTTCCCAACAAAGGGTCATTGGGCTGGGGTGTGGCTCAAGGAGTAGAGTGCTTACATAGGAAGCACAAAGCCCTGAGTTCAAACCCAAGTAGTGCCAAAAACAAAACAAAACAAAAAAAGAATCATGGCTGACTTCTCAATAGGCATTCAAGAAAACAGGAGAAAATAGAATTGTGTCTTTAAAGTGTGAAAGAGGACTTAGCTTAGTGGTGGAGTGCTTGCCTAGTATGAGCAAGGCCATAGGCTACTGCCACAAAAAAAAAGAAAAAAAAGTTAGAAAATAAAGGTACTGGAAGAAAAAAACAAAAGACTCCAAACTAAAAAATATATTATTAATAAAAATAAGAGCTGAAATCAATGAAATAGAAACCAAAAAAAGCATACAAAGAATTAATGAAACAAAAAGTTGGTTCTTTGAAAAAATAAACAAGATCGATAGACCCCTGGCAAACCTGACTAATATGAGGAGAGAAAAAACCCAAATTAGTAGAATCAGGAATGCAAAAGGGGAGATAACAACAAACACCATGGAAGTCCAGGAAATCATCAGAGACTACTTCAAGAACCTATATTCAAATAAATTTGAAAATCTTAAAGAAATGGACAGATTTCTAGATACATAGGACCATCCAAAACTGAACCAAGAGGACATTAATCACCTGAATAGATCTATAACACAAAATGAAATTGAAGCAGCAATCAAGAGTCTCCCCAAAAAGAAAAGTCCAGGACCTGATGGATTCTCTGCTGAATTCTATCAGACCTTTAAAGAAGAACTGATACCAACCCTCCTTAAACTGTTCCACGAAATAGAAAGGGAAAAAAAACTGCCAAACACATTTTATGAAGCCAGTATTACACTTATCCCAAAACCTGGCAAAGACACCTCCAAAAAGGAGAACTATAGGCCAATCTCCTTCATGAACATTGACGCAAAATCCTCAACAAAATAATGGCAAACCGAATTCAACAACACATCAAACAGATTATTCCCCACGACAAAGTAGGCTTCGTCCCAGGGATGCAGGGGTGGTTCAACATACGAAAATCAATAAATGTAATAAGTCACATTAACAGAAGCAAAGACAAAAACCACTTGATCATCTCAATAGATGCAGAAAAAGCCTTTGATAAGATCCAACACCATTTCATGATAAAAGCTCTAAGAAAACTAGGAATAGAAGGAAAGTTCCTCAACATTATAAAAGCTATATATGACAAACCTACAGCCAGCATTATACTTAACGGAGAAAAACTGAAATCATTCCCTCTAAAATCAGGAACCAGACTAGGATGCCCACTATCTCCACTCCTATTCAGTATAGTACTGGAATTCCTAGCCAGAGCAATTAGGCAAGAAGAGGGAATAAAAGGAATACAAATAGGTAAAGAAACTGTCAAAATAGCCCTATTTGCAGACATAATCCTATACCTTAAAGACCCAAAAAACTCTACTCAGAAGCTTCTAGACATCATCAATAGCTATAGCAAGGTAGCAGGATATAAAATCAACATAGAAAAATCATTAGCATTTCTATACACTAACAATGAGCAAACTGAAAAAGAATGTATGAAAACAATTCCATTTACAATAGCCTCAAAAAAAATCAAATACCTAGGTGTAAACCTAACAAAAGATGTGAAAGACCTCTACAAGGAAAACTATACACTTCTGAAGAAAGAGATTGAGGAAGACTATAGAAAGTGGAGAGATCTCCCATGCTCATGGATTGGTAGAATCAACATAGTAAAAATGTCGATACTCCCAAAAGTAATCTGCATGTTTAATGCAATTCCCATCAAAATTCCAATGACATTCATTAAAGAGATTGAAAAATCTGTTAAATTTATATGGAAACACAAGAGGCCACAAATAGCTTGGCTATTCGTGGTTTATTGACCCAAAACTGTGGGCTTCACTCTAGAGACTAAGAAATGTTGAGATGGTTGTAAAGTTCCCTCCAGAGCCCTTCACTTGATATGACCCCTGACCAGGCACTGTGGATGCACACATTGCATTATAACCCTGACAAGCACTGGCATCCAGAGGAGATGCACCGGAGACACAGCTAAGAGAAGGCAGGGCAGTGCTTTCACTGAATTACAGCCTAAGGAAAGGATGATGAAATTAATTCCATTATTACTGAGGGGAATGGAGAGGAGGAAATAGTTCAGAAGTTCTGAGTGTGAAATGTCTCTTCTCTAAAGTTTTGCACAACACAAGCTGCCCTGTCTCTATTGCTTCCTTCTCTTAAGCAGCATTCAAACTCTACTCAAGACTCTTCTATCTGCCAGGCACCGGTGGCTCAAGCGTGAAAGTTCCTACTTGGGGAACTGAGATTGGGAGGATTGTGGTTCAAAGCCAAGCCAGGCAAATAATTCTTGCAACCCAATCTCCAAAATAACTGGAGCAAAATGGACTGGAGGTGTGGCTCAAGCAATAGAGCACCTGCTTAGCAAATGCAAAGCCCTGAGTTCAGATCCCAGTCCCACAAAAATAAAACTCTACACAAGGGCTGCTTTGTTACATCTTGTGAAAAGACACACTGCTGTGGGGCAATAGTGTCCTTAATGGCTCCTCTAAAGATCTCAGTCTACACTGCAAGAGAAGTGCCAGAGGGAGATGTGATGAAGAAAACTGCTGGCTATGAGATGTTATCAGGCTGTGTGGGAAAAAATGGATAGATGTTTGGGGGTGGAGCTCAGTGGTAGAATGCGTGCTTAGGATGGGCAAGGCCCTGAGTTCCATCCCCAGCACCACAAACACACACAAAGATAATAAAAACCAAAAAGACAAAGGAGCACAGATTGTGACAGTCCCACAGAGGCCACTGGCTGATGGGAAGCCCAATGACTAGCACTGTGGGGGCTGAGAGACAACCAGAACTTAAGTCCAGGACATAAAATGTGGTGGCATGAGCCTATAATCCCAGCACTCAGAGGCAGGGGCAAGAGGATTAAGTCTTAAGCCAGCATGGGCTACACAGTGAGACCCCATTTCAAAAAGAGGTCAATGTCAAGGCTGGCAGCCCTGTGGAGCGGGCAGCTCGATCCCCATCACTGCATCTTAAAAATCTAAATATACTCTTACCATACAACCAGCAGTTGTTCTCCTCAGAATGTGACAACTATAACCACTCAAAAATGTTTATACTATAACAGTTTACAGTAGCTTTACTCATCATTGCCACAATCTAGAAAGAACTGAGATGTCCTCCAGAAGGTGAACTGATAAACTGTGGTACAAACATGGAATATTGTTCAGCACTAAAAAGTGAGCTATTAAGCCTGAGCAGACACAGAGGACACCCAGATTGTTACTAAGTGAAAGAAGCAAATCTGAAAAGGCTCCATACCGCATGATTCCAAAGATATAATATTCTAGAAATAACATGAGACTGTAAAATGATCCATGGTTGTCAGGGGTTAGGGATGACCAGGCAGAGCAGAGATTTTTTTTTTTTTTTCAGCACTGGGCTACACCTTGAGCCACTACACCAGCACATTTTTGTGAGGGGTTTTTTTCAAGATAGGGTCTCAAACTATTTGCCCAGGTTGGCTTTGAACCGCAATCCTCCTGGATCTCTGCCTCCTGAGTTAGTAGGATTACAGGCGTGAGCCACTGGCGCCTGGCTATTTTACAGCAGTGAAACATCACTGTGTACTATAATGATAGATACAGGTCATCAGACATTTGTCTCACCCACGGAATACACAATGCTATGAGTGAACCCTAACGTCAATTATGGATGTTAAGCATCAATGAAGTGTCACTTCTGATAAACGTACCGCTCTGATGGAGTATGTCAATAATGGCAAAAGCTACATGTGTGGTGGCAATGGGTTTTTAGGAAGTCTTTGTTCTCTCGGTACAATTTTGCTGTGAATGTAAAACTGCTCTATAGCAATCTATTTGATTTAAAAAAAAGTAATAGCAACTACTAAAACACTTAAATACCTTTTTTTTCAGTGCTGGGAATCGAACCAGGGTTTTACACATGCTAGGCAAGCACTCTACCTCCAAGCTACAGTCCCAGCACTAAATACGTTCTGAAAAATATTTTAAATTTTATGTTTTCAATTGCTAAAAACACTAGTTTTGCTCCATTCTGAGACGAGAAGTGAACATTATTATTTTCCAACATATATTTTCTCCACTGCAAAATCTGATTAATCTAAGTACCCCTGAGAAAGTCAACGGGGTTCTACACTTTGTGGATTGTGGTATTATAGGCTGGGTGGGCTGTTAGGAGACTGGCAGCTTTCCCATACCTTACATTCAGACAGCTCTGAATTGTGGTATTTTGAATGGTAAGGTGGGAAGAGCAAGTGAAGGACTCTCTGTGCCCTTCTTCACAGGTTTTACTCCAGTGTTAATTCTCATGTAGATAATAAGGCTTGTGCACTAGTAAGGAGTCACCATATTCCTCACCTAGGCTCTGACTCCACTTGGAGATTCCATGTTTATTAAGCCATGTGAAATACTGAAAAGTTGCAACACATCCCTGACATTCCAGGGGCACTTGCAGTAACTTCGGATGCGTACATTGACTTGTGAGCCAGGTGTAGCATGCACCTGTAGTCCCAGCTACTCAGGAGGCTGAGGGGATCAATTGAACCAGGAGTTTGAGACCAACACAACATAACAAGACCACACCTGGGGAAAAAAAAACTTTTAAAAACACAAAACTCGGGAGGCAGACCCAGGAGAATCACAAGTTCAGAGCCAGCCTGGTCTACACTGCAATGAGGTGGAACAGAAAGTTAGTTCAAGGCCAGCCCAGGCTACATAGTGAAAGCATCTAAAAAAGTCTTGTGACCTTACAAGCAAAGATTTTTCCTACTGTGAGTTCCACAGATATAAGATACACAAATTTAAAGCAAGTTCTTCACATTCCTGATAATGGGGCTTTAGTGTACTCTTAACTTACTAAATGTTATGTAAGGTCACATCCTTACTTTCACAGAAAAGAAACTTTCTTTTATGTTCTTCCTTTATTTTCACATGGTCTAATGCCATGGGAGTTGGAAGCAACATTAAGAACTGGTGAAGGATAATGGAGGGTTAAGGTACACTGTACATCTGTAAGAATTATCACAATGCAATCCCCTTGTACCATTAATGTATACTAATTCAAAACCAAAACTTTAAAAAAAAAAAGAACTGATGAAGGTGTGAGGGCTTATTCACACATCTTACATTCATACAACTTGTCTCCTGTGTGATTTCTTGTGTGTTTCCAAAGGGCTAAAAACTGAAGGCTTTCCCATAATCCCCTGTATCCATCCATACCGTTTCTCTGCACACTGGGTTCTTATGTGAACACTGGTTTGTGGAATACCTAAAGCCTGTCCACATTCCTTACTGTATTAGTTTCCCAGGGTTGTCATAACAAAATAGCATACACTGGATGGCTTAAACAAGGGAAATTTATTGGCTTAAATTGCTGGAGGCTGAAAGTCCAAATACCAAGGTGTGGGCAAAAGGGCTGGTTTCTTCTGCAGACATTAACATTGGTTTGCAGATGGCCATCTTTTGGTGATGTCATATGGTCTTTTGTATGTGTGTGTCCTTCTATCCATTTTCTCTTCTTAGAAGGACATCAGTGATATTGTATTAGGGATTGATCCTTTTTTCTTCAGCCTCATTTAAAATTAATCACCTGTTTAAAGTCCAAATCATTACATTGTAAGGAGCCAGGTGGTTAGGGCTTCAAAACAGGAAATTTAAGGAGGACTATACCATTTAAATTATGAACTTTCTCTCCAATGTAGATTCATATATGCATATCAAAATTTGTGGAATTAGGAAAGGATTTCCTAGATTCTCTACATTCATAGAGTTTTCCTCCAGTGAAATTTCTCCCGTGTAAGGTATATCTTTTGTTTAGGAATTACCAAAATGTTTTTCACATTCACAACTAACATAGACTCTTCTCTGTGAATTCTTACATGTTCATTAAGACCTGAGATAGGAGTGAAGATGTTTCCAAATTCCTTACATTGATAGGGTTTCTCCCCAGTGACTTCATTCATGTCTTCAAATGGGAACATCCCCTTTCGTTACACTGATAGTTTCTCTTCCACATGCCTTCTTTCATGATTCTGAAAGGAGCTGGGAGAACTAAAGGCTTTTCCACACTGCTTACATTCATAGGGTTTCTCTCCAGTGTGAGTTCTTTCATGTAACTGAAATGAATTGGAGTATCTGAAGGATTTCCCACATTGCTTACACTCATAGGGTCTTTCTCCAGTGTGGATTCGCATATGAAGGCTAACACACGTAGGAAACTTAAAAGCCTTCCCACATTCCACACATGTGTATGGTTTCCTGGCACTGTGAGTCCGCATGTGGTTATTAAGACTAGAGGAATGAGTAAATGCTTTTCCACATTCCCTGCACTCAAAGGGCTTCTCTCCGGTGTGAATCCTCAGATGGCCACTAAGATTTGAGGAAATAGCAAAGGCTTTCCCACATTTGACACACTCGAAAGGCTTCTCTCCAGTGTGCGTTCTTATGTGTTCACTGAGGCGAGAGGACCTAGCAAAGGCCTTCCCACACTCCTTACATTCATAGGGCCTCTCTCCACTGTGTGTGCGGACATGCTTAGTGAGGTCTGAATTCTGAATGAAGGCTTTCCCACAGTCTTTACATTTGAAGGGTTTTATTCCAGTGTGAATCCGAAAGTGATCTTGAAGGCATGAGGAGTTTCTGAAACATTTTCCACAAACCTGACATTCAAAGGCCTTCTCCTCAGAGTGGTTTTTCACATGTTCAGTGAGTTGACAAGATGCTTTAAACACTGCCCCACATTCCTTACACTCACAGGGTTTCTCTCCAGTGTGAATCTTTGCATGTTGACTTAAGCATGAGGAAACAGTGAAGGCTTTCCCGCATTCCACACATTTGTAAGGTTTCTCTCCAGTGTGAGTTTTTCTATGCTGTGTAAGTTGACAAGACCTGGTGAAGGCCTTCCCACACTCCTTACATTCATAACGGTTGTCTGCACTATTGGCTCCCATGTGAATATTGAGGTATGCAGGATATCTAAAGCCTTTTCCACATTCCTTACATGTGAAGGGCTTTTCTGCATTTTGACTTTGTAGATGCACAGCAAGGCTGGTAGAGTGAGTGAAATCCACCCCACCTTCCTTCCATACAAAGAGTCTGTCTCCACTGTGAGTTCTCCTGTGGGCCTGAAGGGGTGACTGATTGACAAAGGATTTCACACAGTCACTGCCTTCGAAGGGCTTGTCTTGAGTGCACGTTCTCTGGTGAACGACATCTGGAGGCAGGCTGAAGGTCTCTTCATACTGATTCAACTCAGAAAGTTTCTCTCCAATAGAGGTTTCCTTGGGAAGACAAAGGAGGTCTGATGCATACTGATCATGCTCATAAATAAAACCTGTGTCTTGTGTTCTCATATATGACTGAGGGCAGGCATGTGCACTAAAGATTTCGCCACATTCCTTATGCTCATAGAGTCCCCCTTCAGTGCTGTCTCTTGCCTGTTGAAAAAGTGATGAACAGTGATTAAAAAAATTTTTTAAATACATATATATATAAAAAATTTTTTAAGGATTCTTCAGACTCATTAATAGATTTCATGCATCTGAAGACAGAAACATTATTAGGATGATTATCTCCATTTTTGCCATTTTCATATGTGTTTACAGCTCCTGTTCTGTTGATTTCTTTTCTCTAAAGATGAATCTCAATATGCTGCCCAAGCTAGCCACAAACTCCTGGGTTCAAGTGATTTTCCCATGTCAGCCTCCCAAGTAGCTGGGACTACAGGCACTTGCCTGTCTTGCTCACTTCCTTAAAATGAAATCATGGAAGGTTTCTGCCAGAATATTTTCCTATCTACACTGATCATAAAAAGATTTAGTGGTTCATGAAAATCTTTTAAAAACTCTAGTTATATATCTGAGACTATATACTTTGTGGGAACTCAGAAGCAACAATTGTCAAGCTATATTTAGGGTATTCCCAATTCATCATATTTCAAGCTTCCTTCCAAAGCTGTTGCTCTCTCTCCAGTCAATGCTACCTCTCCCAAATCTATCTTGTTTTGCTGTTGTACTGTAATGGAATTCTTAATCTTCTGTGATCGTGGAGAACAAGAAATATCCCGTCTTAGTCTTACCATGTGTATCTCACTGGAGGTTTTTCCCTTCAACATATCCTGCTGAAGTGCTGAGCTTTTGGTTTTCAGTACCACTTTCCATTCTGAAACCCAAATGGAAAAGAAATATACAGGTTTAGAGAAAAGAATGGACCAACAGAAAGAGGTGAGAATGATAGAGATCATTTGTAATTGTTTATAAATTAAACACAGTTTAAAAAGGAAGACGAGAGCTGGGCGCAGTGGCTCACGCCTATAATTCTAGTTACTCAGGAAGCAGAGATCTGGAAGGTCATGGGTTGAGGCCAGCCCCAGGCAAGTAGTTCGCGAGACCCTATCTTGAAAATACCCAACACAAAAAAGGGCTGGCACAGTGGCTGAAGTGGTAGAGTGCCTGCCTAGCAAGCATAAGGCCTTGAGTTCAAACCCCAGTACTTCCAAAAGAAAAAAGAAAAAAAAAAAGAGGACTAAGGACTGGAGGTGGCGAGTGGTAGAATACCTGCTTTGCAAGCGAAGAGAGAGAGAGAAAGGGAAGGAAGGAATGGAGGGAGGGAGAGAGGAAGAAGAACCTAAGATTTGATTTTTTTTTTGGGGGGGGGGAGGCAATACTGGGGTTGGAACTCAGGGCCTCACGCTTGCTAGGCAGGTGCTCTACCACTTAATTCAATCACACAAGGTCAAAATTGTAGATGATTTATTACAAATTTATTCTATGAAAATTAAAACTGGTAGTGAACACAAAGAATATCATGGAAGGAAACAGAAGTGCAGGACAAACAGCATACACTGAAATAATGAACCTGGCTGGAGGTGTACCTCAGTGGTAGAACACTTGCCTAGCATTTGAGAGGCCCTGAGATCAATCCCAGCATCACCCCCATTAAAAAAAATAAAGAAAGAAGAAACACAGAAACACAGCAGGCTGTATTGCAAGACCACAGGATGGTATGACCTTCTTGGGAAAATGGCCTGAACCTTCTGAGATCAAGTACATCTTTAAAAAGTTTCTTCATTCTACTTATAAGCACACTGAACTTTCAGACCAGGGTCATTTTTAATGAATACTCACCTTGGAGAAGTCCTCCCTCCACTGGCTTCAACTTGTCTTGTTCCAACCAAGAGATAAGGCTGGGTTTGAGATGCTGACATCCTGTGCATTGGGAAAGACACATTCAAGTAAGACAGGATGAACTTTCCCACAAATGAGGAACCAGTATTCTTATGAAAGCAGTGAAATTATTTCAAAAAGTCAAATGCAAACATCCCCTCAGCCTGTGCCTCCTAAGGACTTGGTGGTTCTGACCCCTGAAGCCTAAATTCAGACTTATGTTCACATTTACAAAGCACCACAAATTCTATCCCATAGGAAATGGAACAGAGATTTTCATTCTCATGGGGAGAAATAACCAGTGATTCTTTATTTCCTCTTTTCCAGGCTGACGATGGAATCCATGACCATGCAATACCAGACAAGTACTCTGTCACTAAGCCAACTCCCAGCCTGTACTCCTGTGATCTTAAACATCATATAACATCAGGAGAGCTTATTTAATGCAGATGACAGGGCACCAATCACAGAGCTTCTGACTATGACAAAGGTGGAGACTGAGCACGTACACTTCAAACAGGGAGGGCTGGGATGTAGCTTGGTGGTACAGCGCTTGCCTAGCCCTAGGTTCGATCCCAGCACCAAAAAAGAAAAGACAAAAACAAAAACCTCTCCCCTCAAACAGGGTGATGGTGATGCTCTTGAGAATCACCACTGTAGACTACACCTACAATGGCAGGGGCTATGTCTCTGGCATTTCTCACTGTATTCAAAGTTGACACTGCTGATACCGCAGCACAGTAGGTATACAATATAATCTGTTCCCTAGGAGGCTACAAGGAATGAAGGCAGCCTTACCTACTGTGGCCAGGTTTTCATAGTTCTCCAGCATCACCTGTCTGTATAGGTTTCTCTGAGTTGTGTCCAGTAAAGTCCACTCCTCCTGGGTGAAGCCCACAGCCACATCGTCAAAGGTCACCAAGTCCTGAATCATCACACACATGCTGGTTTGAGCCAAGTAACATGTCCACCAATGTTCACTGGAGAGTGAAGAAGTGACACCAGTGCTGGTCCACAGTTCTGAGGTCTCTCATCATCTCTCCCAGGGCTCAATGGTCATAGGAACTTCTCTCTGTCCGCACTCACTCACTGTAGCTTCCCTCCTTACATGTGATCATATCTCAGCATCTCTGAAACTAGATACTCATCTTGTTTCCCTCTACCAGAGCACTCTGGATCACAGTGCTCATTAAACAGTGATGAATGAATACATTCTTGAACCAAAGGACACTTTCATCTTCCTTACCATCTGTCAGAGCACTCAGCAAAATCAGAAACATGCAGTTACCACCATGAGGGAAGATTAATCGTAAACATGAAATACTGGGAAGACTGTAAGGTAATTCCTTAAAGCGACTCCATGTCTTGGGGATATTCAGCTGGGGACTCAGTTCTATTTGCTTTAAGTAGCTCTGAAAACCAGATGGGTGGAATGTACCTGCAGTCCCAGCTATTCCAGAGGCTGAGGCAGGAGGATGTCCTGTGCCCAGGAATTTGCAGCCAGCCTACACAACATAGCAAGACCGCATTTCAGGGGGAAATCTCTAGAGATGATACTGAGTAGAAGGCCAACTCGATTAGTGCAAGTACATGATTTTGTATAAAAATGCGTGTGCAGCCAGGTGCCAGTGGCTCATACATATAATCCTAGTTACTTAGGAGGCAGAGATCAGGAGGATCAAGGTTCAAAGTCAGCATGGGCACAAAAAGGAAGCCTGTATCTTGAAAATACCCAACATAAAAAAAGGCTGGTGAAGTCACTCAAATGACAGTGTACCTGCCTAGCAAGAATGAGGCCCTGGGTTCAAAGTACAATGCCACCAAAAATAAATAAATAAATAAAATTTTAAAATGCATGTGCTACGTACCGGGTAACAGCTGGGCAGGCAGTCAGCCATCTTCCTTTCTGCATGCAGGTGGACTGGGCCCCTCTAAAAAAGACCTCATGGGAAAGAGAGAAGGCATGAGAACCCAGAGTTGCTCATAATGCCCATGTTCACATGTCTGGAAGTCATTCCATCCTTCTTCAACACTCCCCATCTGCACTCAGGAAAACTCACACAAGTGCACGACTCCTGTGTGATACCAAAGCGACCTACAGCCAAAAAGAGACTGAGCACTATCCATGCAGAAAAGGGTAATCGTCTCGTTAGATGCAAGGAAAGGAAGCCCTGAGCAATGTGAGCATTTGTCCCCGGAGATGAAACTCATGAAAGGATCCCCTGCCCGAGGCACAGTAAGAAGCACAGTAAGAGCTCAGGACTCCGAGGCACACTTCTGTAGTGCCTAAGCGAAACAGCAGCCTGGCTGCTCAGGCCTGGGTCACTGTACTGAGGCGTAGGCCACACTGCACAGGGAGACCCTAAGGCGAGTCAATCCGTGAGAAAAAGAACAAGAGTGTCAAGATGGTAGGGTGATGCACATTCATAATCCCAAACACAAGGAAAAAAGAGGCAGTTCAAGGCCAGCAGAGCAAAGTCAGGATACAAACAAAAGGGCTGGGGGTGTGGCTCAAGTGACAGAGCACTTGCTCAGCATGAGTGAGTGCGGACATGAGTTGGGGGGGGGGGCGGGCATCGAGAGGACTTACCATGGGATGAATAAATGACTGCCATCCTGCGAGGCAGAGGCAAAATGTGTCTGAACACTCCTTTCCTTGATTCCAAGGTCACTTCAGGGCAGTTTATGAGGTTCATTGCAGAATGGAAATCTCCACCGTTCTGAATTCAGGGCTAATTGAGTCCTTTCTGTATCATCATCAAATAAGTGGTAATTACTAATAACTAAACATGGTACACTAACTCTCTTTGCAGATATTATATGTGAAAGCCAGTGCCAACTGTAAATTCTGTTACAAGAGTATTAGTAATATTAATTGCCACTTTATGTACTTAAGCTCACTTAATTACCAAAACACTGCCTCGCAGTAGACACCATTATCCCTACTGAAAAACCTAGACTCAGAGCACACTAGCAACTGGTCCAATATCTGCGTGCAGTTAAGAAGTAGAGAATGAGGACTTGAATGACATTACATTTGTCCCTGACACCAGATGTACTGTGGTTGTTACAGATTGACTGTTCCTTACCTAAAATGCTTGGGATCAGAACTGTTTCAGACTTCAGAGTTTGGAATATTTGCTGGATTCAGTCATGCACACAAAAAAGTTTTTGAGGTTTTAGATTTTCAGATTAGAGTTGCTTAACCTATATATACGTCCCAACATGACTAGAAATGAGTTTAGCCCTACACTGTATGATACAATGGCCTACTCACGTGTTACTAATGACCTCATATGAAGCTAGGAGAACCGCAACAGTATTTTTATTTTCATTTAATTTTAATAAAAATGAATAACAATCTTAAATAGGTTAAACACAGAGCAGTAGCCCAGATGCTAACTTACAAAATACTATTCAAAAATTATGACAAATGTGGGGGAGGGGAGAGAAATGACCCAAACAATGTATGCACATGTGAATAAATGAGTAATTTTTAAAAATTATGACAAATGCTGAAGTTGCACAATTCATTATCCATAAACCAAATTCACCCTCACAAAAATTATGTAAGTCTTATTCTATAATGTGAAGAGTAAAATCCTAACGTGACACTATGTTACAAAAACCATCTGTCCAGAGTCCTCCTACAGACAGTACCAGCCCCACAGGTCTCAACCTGGAGGTCCTGGGCTGATAAGGCCCACAACTATGTTTCGTCTGGTGGCACTGCATAGAATATTTGACTTTGTAGTACCGAAGTTTGAACTCAGTGGACCCCTAACGCTTTGGAGCAAATCTACCTCTCTGCAGTACACTACTCTCCTTTCGAAAACTAGCTTACACTGCTATACTGTAAAAATGAAGAACCATGGGCCATAAAGTGACCAAATGGCCTGAGCTTCCCATGTGCCTAGGTGGTATCTGACCCACTGCATGTGCCCCCGCAGTTCATCATCAAAGGGAGATGGCACAGAGGACACTGAGCTGAGCCAGTTCCGGCATAAGTAAGCAAGCAAGCTGCAAGGGTGTGCACCCAAGACTTCCAGCATGGTTCAGTGTCCCCTCCCTCAGCCACACCTACGGCTTTCTTGGGGTTCCTGGTTTACAGACATGGTGATGTGATATGCAAGTACCACCCAACATGGCGGGGTGACACACTACAACCTCAGTGAAGGCTGACTCTAAAGACAGTACTGATCTGGGGGTCCAGGGCACACAGGGTTAATGTGAAGACCAGCAGGGAAGATCCAAAACTCCTCCGAACCACCCCAAAATACCCCTTCTGTGGTCTGCTGCATCCTGCAAAGTGGGGAAGGGGTGATAACTTGTTCCAACAGTTCTGAAAGGTATATACAGTATAGTTCACCTGTCACCTTTAGCAACCTTTTAGGTGCTTTTCCCTACATAAGGCTTCATGACTATTATTTGCATCTCATGCATATAATTATAACAAAATGAGTTATGGGGAAGGACATGCGCAGTCAGAAATCAGTTGTATAACATCTGGCTGTCAATCAAATCTGCCAATCACCCTAGCCCCACCTGCAGAAACCTAGGGTTCTCCCACCAGCCTGGCTCAAACCACATAAAAGCCAGATAGACTGCTGCCCAAGCCCGGTGCTCTCCGTTCACTTTCCGCTCTCAGTAAACTGCTATTTGCCACACACTCATCTCTTAATCGCTCCATCAGTTCTTTGATTGGGACCCCAACAAGGTCCAGATCCCTGGTAACAGTACCAGTGGGAACTTCCCAGTGGCAGAACTTCAAGAAGTACACTGGGCTAAGGATCTGCTGTGATGTGACCCACTGCAGGCAGACATTGATTCATGAGTATTTGGCAAATGTTTCTACAGGGCGAGATATGTAAGAACCAGATTTGTGGGAAAAGATTTATAGATGGCCCCCTCTAAAAGGACAGTTTTGCCAGGCACCTGGTGGCTCACACCTGTAATCCTAGCTACTTGGGAAGTTGAGATCAGGAGGATCGCAGTTCAAGGCCATCCTGGGCAAATAGTTCTGGAGATCCTATCTCCAAAATAACCAGAGCAAAACAGACTGGAGGAGTGGCTCTTGCAGTAGAGTGCCTGCTTTCCAAAAGCAAAGCCCTGAGTGTAAAGCCCAGTCCCACCAAACATAAACATAAAATACACATAAAATAAAAAGACACAGTATGCATCTCCTATGAGTGCTCACCACTGGAAATAAAATCATGCACTCTGAAGCTACTGCTCACTGTTTCCAGTGCTTATACTGAGATACAAGGTCATGAAGGCAGGGATAAAGCTATGCCCTGCCTCTGCAATGGGGACTTCCCCTTTCCATGGCTGTACCCAATCACCTGAACACGGAATCAACACTGAGTGTTTTTGTAACAGTGTCATTTTGGGTTTTATCCCTTGCTTTATAGAATAAGGCTTACTCATGAGGGCAAACATGGTTCACGGATAATGAACTGTGCAGTCTTACTCCTTGAGGGGACCAAATGGCCCTCCTAGTGGGCCCTCTTCTATGATAGTGGTGACAAGGACTCATCCTCACAGGAACAGACCTGGGATCTAGATAAGGATTTGCTTTGATTTACATTTACTTACGCTTCTCTGGGCACCATCATCCCTGCAATCACAAAATGCTCTGTCCATGGTCACAGTATTCGCACAATTGTTTCTAAATGAGAAACACTTTTCAACACAAAGAATTTCAACAGAAGGAGTATGTCCACGCAAGTGACTGCTGTTTGCTGGAGTATGAACTCGGGGCCTCATGCTTACTAGGTAGGCGTTCTTACCACTTGAACTTACCAGCAGCCTGTCTGTTTTTTTCAAACAGGGTCTCTATCTATATCACCCAGGCTGGCCTTGATCCTCCTATCTCAGCCTCATGAAGTACTGGGATTACAGACGTGCACACTATACCCACTCCATTACCCAGAGAAGCAGCTGATCTAGCTGAAGGGTGGAATTGGCGTATTAAGTATGCAGGTACAGGACCAAGTGAGAGACAACACTCTGAGGATGGGATGCTGTCTCACAGGACCAGGTACATGCTCTGAGTCAGATTCATATGTAGTGCTGTCTCCCCAAAGCCAGAACATGCAGATCCAGGAGTTCATGAGTGAAGATGAAATGGACTCCACTGATAAGAAATTTTGCTTCCAATTCCTCACGAGGCTGCATATTTGGAGATCTTAATCTCTAACAGGTAATTCTACCCCAGGTCCAAATAAAATGGAGATGAGACTGGGAGCTAGCCATTCTGGGCTTCATACACCACTAAACCAAAATAGAAAAAAAAAAAGAGAGTGGGTGAAAGATAGTGGTACTGATATACTGGGTAGAATTATTAATCCCAATTACCCAAGGGGAACTGTGATAATACCATAGAATTGAGACGGTGAAGTAAACAAACTCTGAGTACTTCTACGATACACAGAGGTTAACAGAAAATGTCAACTGTCACCCAGAGGCATGGTGGCACACTCCTATATTCCCAGAACTCAAGAGGCTGAGGCAGGAGGATCGTGAGTTCAAGGTCAGCCTGCAGTACAAAGGCAAACTCTGTATAAAGAACAATAAAAAAGTTGGATTTCGTGGTGCACACCTGCAATCTCAGCTACTTGGGAAGTGGAGATTGGGAGTACTGTAGTTGGAGACCAGACCAGACAAAAGTTAGCAAGACCTCATTTCAACAAACAAGCCAAGCACAGTGGTATGCACCTGTTATCCCAGCTACACAGGGAGGAGAAGTCTAAGGCCAACCCCAGGCAGAAAGCCCAAGACCCTATCTGGAAAAATAACTAAAGCCAAAAAGGGCTGAAGGTATGGCTCAGGTGGTAGAATAATCACCAATTAAAAAAAAAAGTGGGGGGGGGGCAGGGAAAGAGGGAAGAAGGGGAGGAAGGAAGAAAGGGAAAGAGGGAGGGAAGAAGGGAGAGAGTAGAGGAGTGAGGGAGGAAGGAAGGCAGTAGCAACTGAAAAAGGACAAGAAAATGGAGGTTGTAGACTTGGGGAATGTGATACACACACGACCCAAGGCTGGAGTTCTCACTGAGGGCACAGGAACTATGAAAATGCTCATTAAGAAGCAAACAACAAATATCAACTCCAATCTTGACTCCATTTAAATAAGAAATGTAGTAGTTCTGTACATCTTGTTTGCTTCGTGTATGTGTGGATTTGGTTTTTTGTATGTGTTTATTTATATAAACTAACTGTACAGTCCTTTTTCTGTGGTGCTGGGGACAGGGCCCAGGACCCCATGCATGCTAGGCACACTGTACTGTTTGAGTCATGCTCTCAGCCCCCACACACTTTGATGTTCCTACTTTTATTTTGTACGCTTAGAGGTTAAATTCACAATTTTGTCTTTGGATAACAATATTCAATGAGAATGTGAGTGAACTTGAGGAGTATCTACACATCTTGGGTGGTAATGTGACGGTGGGACTGTGCATCTTCTCACAGTGAGGAAGGGTAAGAACCTTTTCCATGTATTTTCTCAGGCTGAAACACAGGCTTGTTTAATCACCACGAGAAAACACACGTGTGCAGAAGGCACATACACACAGTGAACAGCCAGAGTGACCTATGTTGGTTATCGATTAATTTATCTCAGCTCCAAGCTCACGCTCAATACCTGCTATGGAATGAAAGATGATATTCTTTATTTCTATTATCTGTACACTAACACCACTGTTAAGTTTTGCATATAAACTTATGTCATGAATGTAATACAGCTGTTGCCTTGGCATCCATTTTTAGGCCTGACATTAAGTTATCTGGAACTAGTGTTATCCCGACACCCTTGGTCAAGTTAAAGCTTCCTCACCTAGTGTAGCTGCTGGCTCCATAGTCTGCTTGTTCGTCATCTCAGTGACCCAGAACTCACCAGATCCCACAAGCACTGACCACAGTTCAACCTAATGGTCAACACTAGAGTCATATAAATAACTCCTCAGGATTCCTTAGTGCTTCTTGAGTCAGTGGCTCACCATGTTGCCTATGCTGGCCTTGAACTCCTGGGTTCAAGTGATCCTCCTGCCTCAGCCTCCCAAGTAGTTGAGACTGTAGGTGTGAAGCTCTGTATCCAGTTTCCCTGGAGTTTTCTTCCTAGCAGCCAACCCCAGAAGGAAAGGTTGAGGGACAAGGCCCATGGACCTTACTAAAGGCACTGTCACACAGGTCCTTCTCTCTATCCCTCTCTCTCATTCCCTACCCAATGATGAGCCCATTATTTCCAGACTTCCCATGGGTTCTAGAAGGCAGCCCTCTAATCTCAGGTATGTATGAGTAATAAAATGCTTGTTATTTCATGTTTTGTTTGGTTTGGTTTGGTGAGACTGGAGTTTGAATTCAGGGCTTTATACTTGCAAAGCAGCATTCTACCGCCTAAGCCACACCTTCAGTCCATTTTGCTCTGGTTATTTTGAAGATGGGGTCTCTTGAATTATTTGCTCAGGTTGGCCTCAAACTTCAATCCTCCTGATCTCAGCCTCCCTGATCTTAGCTAGGATTACAGGTGTGAGCCACTAGGCCCGGCATATTTCATATATATTTGTAATGTTGCCTCAACTGTGTCTTGACTGAACAACACAACACACCGGAATATAACTCTCCTTTCAGTCTAGGTAGGGCTAGAAATTATAGCCTCTCTCCAGAGAGACCTCTAGAATAAAACAGAGGAAAACACAATCAGTGCAAGGAGCAGAGGGGTGTGGTAAGATCCACAAAGGACCAGAACAAAATGAGTCCAGGCCACTCTTCACTTTTCACCTAGCCCTCCCACAGGGCTAAGCGCCATTTGGAAAGGCACCCCAGCTACCTAGACTATATCTGCACTACTCTGTGTTGCTGTCCATTGTCTTTGTGGAGTGTTGCCAGACTCCCTTTCCTATATTAAGTGGCTCCTAGACAGCCCAAATGCTCCCCGGAAACCACCAACTGCCATATCATAGGGCAAGTGGGGCAACCACAATTAAGCCAAGGCTGCTATTGCTCCCCAAAGGAAACACTGATCAGAGTGAAAGTGACTACATTCATGACTCACTGGGCTGACCAGCTCATTAGAGGCAAAGATATAAGGTAGATTCCTGGGCCAATTACAAGATTCTCAGAGTGTGAGAAGGATACTGGCATTCTGACTGCCCACTGAGTTGGGGACACAGTATCCAAGGAGGTCACTAGATCTTCCCAAGCCTGACAAGAGGCATACCCGTAACAGCGAATCTTATATCACCTTGAGAGCAGTGGTGTGGCTGGGGTCTGCTTATCCCTGTGTTGCTGCCTCCCCTTGCATCTGCTGCTCCACACCTCCAACCCCAGCGAGATCAACTGGGCCATCCTGGGGAGAGAGGCCACTGCCTACAAATGGGGCAATGGAAACCACAAAGGGAGGCCACTGGGACTACCAAGAGCTTGTCATGTAACATCTGGAGAGAGGAAACAATGCTTAGCCACATAGAGATACAAGCCATTCTAAAGATCTTACTTAAAAGAAGGAAAATGCAGTAAAGGGACCAATTATCTCAAATTGGCCATCCCAGAGAGAAAGACAACCACCCAGAGGCACAGGGCCCCTTATCCCTCTTATCAGCCAGAGACAGAGGCCAAGAACCACCAATTCAGGCAGATGAAGACACACAGGGAGGGGTGTGTGAAGCCTTGGGTTTTAAGTAGCCATAACTCCAAGAGGGAAAAGAAAAAAAAGTGGTAAACTTTAAGTTCTGAGCAAATGCCAGGTCTAGCCCTGGACACTTAGTGATTTCCCCAGACATGGAAGGAAGAACACAAAGGTACTATGTTAACATTTGCTAAAATGTACCCATTAACCTTTGGACCTCACATTGTAGTTACACCTAGGAATCCTACTAAATTTAAACATTAGACCCCCTAAAGTCTTTTTTTGTGTATATGGTACCAAGGATCCAACCCAGGGCCTTGTACATGCCAAGTTAATGCTGCAAAACTAAGCTACATTCCCAGCCCAGTGCCTGCTAAAATTTTAAGAGAACTATAAAATGGA